TCACAATCATCATCAAGTGGTCACAACAACAGTTATCGTAACTCGAATTCTTGGGATGACTGGGGAGAAGAGAACAATAGCAAAAAGGAAGCAGCACCAAAGGTGTCGACTTCTAATGATGATGACGACGGCGGTTGGGCTGGTTGGGATGATAATGATGCTAAAGATGATGATTTCTATTATCAGCCTGCAAGCGATAAGAAATCTGTAGGTCACAATGGGAAATCAGACACTGCTTGGACCGGTGGAGGTTTTCTCTAACGGTAAGCACCAAATCAAGTTAAACGAATCGAATATGTAAACGTCTATATAATCACCACAAAACACTATTCCCTAAATCGCAGGTGTTACAGGATAATGGTGAATGAAGTTTGTACAATTAAGGAATAGCAGAGCCTGTGGTCTTCTCGTGCTCTGTCACAAGAGAGAGCAGAGTGGTCATCTCAACCATTAAGCCACCACTGGTCTTTCTTTTCACATATCAATTGCTTGGCGTTCAATCAAATCGATCGTCACTATTTGTTCTTCTACAATATATATAGTTTTTTTTTTTATTTGTACAAGTTTCACAGTCACAGAGGATTGCTTGCTAAACTATTCGGGTTAGTCTTCAGCTCTTTTTTTGAGATTCAAACTTTTATTTTTCTTGAAATTTGTAATGATCACAAAAGACAAATTTTCCGTTTTATTGTCCTCTTTCTCATTCGCATACTACTTTTGGTCGGGTTGCTATCGTTTCTTACTTCACTGAATTTCTAGTTTACCGGGATCTGATCGGATTACGGATTTACATATTCAGAATGAATTTTCAGTAAGTAAAAAAGAAAATGGGTTAACGTTTTTCTCAGCTTATTTCATACATAAATGTCTTCAGTACCTCGAGGAAAAGAAGTAGATAAAAAGAGGTGTTACGTCCGAAAATGGCGGTGTTAAGCGGAGATGAAACATTATGGAAGAAATACTATGACTTCACACTAACTAAATCTCGATATACCAAGCAATGTCTCTTTGGAATGTTGAAAGTTTGAAACTTAAGGAAGGCTAAGCTTGCTTAACGTATACGATGCAAATTGGTTAATGAATTCATGTCATAATTTCATTTCACGTCTCATTTCATGTTTGTATTTTAAAATTTTAATTATAACGAAGAGAAGTTGGTCAATGAAGGATGACAGAGAGAGCATGTCTATGTCACGTTTTATGTTCTATCGTTCAAACCGGACCAGTTCACACTTCCATTCAATAATCCGACATCCTGAACCAGGCCAGGTAAACTCTTAAAGCACTTAAAAGAGCAAGAGATATATGGCAATCCATTGGAGTCAATCGATGGAAAGATAGTTAAAAGACAAATATTCGTACCAATCTAACCAATTCTCTTAATTATAAAAATCAAGAATCATCTAATGTATACGTACCAACTCAAATGTTTTATTTGTCTTTCTTTTTTATTAGTTGTAAAAGTCTATTTCAAGATTACAACTTTACAAAATATAATCCCTTGTACATTTTAATTTTTAGTATGCACTTTACGAATATAAACTATAAAAGTCTCTAGAAGTTTAACAAATATATAGTCAAGTCAATTTGAATATTTGAGAAATCATTGTCCAAATAAACCCCTTTACAGTAAAATCCAAATTTTAAGATTTCTGTGGATTGATGTTTACTATATCAGTAGTAACTTTCTTTTCTAGTCATTCAACGAAAATCTAAACATTGATTATAATTAGCTGTCATATAAAAACTTAATTAATTACTACCTGTCAACAGCAAACTTTCTCTACTCACGCGTGAGCCTATTTAAAGCCACACAGTTTTCTTCTTCGTTCCTTACCATCCATCCAACTTGTAACTCTCTTTCTCTATTTCTTCTCCATTCTGTTTCCTCTGCAACATCTTTTAGGGTTTATTATTGTTGGTTTCTTCATTTTCTTTCTCTAAAATATTTGCAGAGGAAGAGAGAGAGAGAGAGAGATCATGGGAATATATGGAGTGATGACAGGGAAAAAAGGAAAGAGTGGGTTTGGATCTGCTTCTACTGCTGAAGATGTTACTCAAGCCATTGATGCCAGTCATCTCACTGCCATCATCACAGGTTCTTTCATTTTTCCTTTTCCTTCTGATATTTTCTTGCAAACCCAATCTATTACTATTGCCAAACAAATTTTATTTTACGTTTACTCGTCGTGTAAGACTTTCTTCCAAAAAAAGAATCAGAAAACACTATAAAATTAGTCAAGTCTACTATAATTCAATGAATGGAAGATGAAATGTTTTAATGGTGGATGAAAAGTCAAACTTTTAGGATTAAGCTAGAGTTTCGATTGTGACTTGTGAGGCAAATAATATAAAGGGGACTTCTTTTTTTTTTTGTATTTCAAACACCAAAGATTTTCTTTCTGTTTTGTCATGACCGATTTTTTGTCCATAAACAAAATATCTTAGTTATGTATCTTCTCTCTAATTAAGACTAAGGTAATAGATCAAAATTAAACTCGCATATGAATGTTGTTGCCAAAGTTATTTTCATTAAAATTGAAAGCTAATATGTTTTATAGTATTTAGTTGGTACTATAATTTTTGACCAATATGCAATTTTATGAACAATTATTGTTTGAACAAACAAAAAGGTGGAACAAGTGGGATTGGATTGGAGGCAGCTAGAGTGTTAGCAATGAGAGGAGCTCATGTCATCATTGCCGCAAGAAACCCAAAAGCTGCTAATGAGTCTAAAGAGATGATTCTTCAGATGAACCCTAATGCTCGCGTCGACTATCTCCAGATCGATGTCTCTTCCATCAAATCAGTCAGATCCTTCGTTGATCAGTTTCTTGCCCTTAATGTTCCTCTCAACATTCTCATGTACGTTTGAATATTACTTGTTGAATTTTCTTTTTTCTTTTGCAGCGATTAAGAGTTAATTATATGTTAACTTGTTGTGTCTTTGAAATGTTATTAGAAACAATGCAGGTGTTATGTTTTGTCCTTTCAAGCTCACTGAAGATGGGATTGAATCACAATTCGCAACAAACCACATTGGTAAGATTTTATTAATAGTGATTCCTTGTCAGTATATCGAAATACGCAATATTCGTTATCAAAACATCATGTTATGACATGAATTATAAAGAAATATTCTCAAGTCAACAAACACTTATTTTATATGACATTACGTGAGTTAATTATAATGATCGTCCAGGTCATTTTCTGTTGACGAATCTGCTTCTGGACAAAATGAAGAGTACCGCGAGAGAAAGTGGAGTCCAAGGAAGGATTGTGAATTTGTCATCTATTGCTCATACTTATACTTACTCTGAAGGTATCAAGTTCCAAGGCATCAATGACCCTGCTGGGTAAGTTTTAATTCAATTTTATACTACTGAATTTGAGACTAATTTT